GGATCTCCTACAACACTTGGGTGTTTTCAAGTCTGCTGGGCCCGATGACCTGCACCCAAGAGTCCTGAAAAAACTGTCTGAGCTTATAGCAGTGCCTCTGGCCAAGCTGTTTGCAGAGTCGTGGAACTTGGGAATGGTCCCGGATGACTGGAAGAAGGCCAACGTGGTGCCCATCTTTAAGAAAGGGAAAAGAGATGACCCTGCAAACTACAGACTGGTCAGTCTGACCTCAGTATAATCTCTGAAAAATGTATTAAGGAGGCCATCAATCACAAGCTGGTAACTGACAAGGTGTTAAGAAGCAACCAGCATGGCTTTATTGAGGGTAAATCATGCCTAACAAACCTTGTGTCCTTCTACGACCTGGTAACTAGCCATCTGGATGAAGGACATGAGACTGACATAATGTACTAAAGAGTTCAGTAAAGCTTTTGATTCTGTTCCCCACAGGATACTCTCAAGCAAACTGGCGGTTACTGGGCTGGACCAGTCTACAGTGAGTTGGGTGGACCATTGGCTCAGAGGCCACTTCCAGAGGGTAGTAATTGATGGGATGGCCTCATCCTGCAGTGACATCTCCAGTGGTGTCCCCCAGGGATCGGTGTTTGGACCCGTTATCTTCAATATATTCATTAATGACTTGGATGAAAGGGTGGAGAGCTCAGTGATTAAGTTCATGGATGATACCAAGCAATGGGATAATGTGGGCACATTGGAGAATAGGACCAGGATCCAGAACAACCTTGACAGACTGGAATCATGTGCAGAATGAAATTGGATGAAGTTTAACAGGGAGAAGTACAAGGTCCTTCACCTGGATACGAAGAACCCTCACCACAACTACACGATGGGTGAAGATCCACTGGCTCGCACAGTATCTGAATGAGACCGGGGTGGGGGGAGGGGTCACGATTGACCAGAAGATGAATATGAGCAGCAGTGCGATGAGGTTGCCAGCAGGGCAAATAGAACTCTGGCGTGTATCAGCCATTGTGTGTCCAGTCGATCCAGGGAGGTGCTCTTCCCTCTCTATTCGGCACTGGTGAGGCCTCAGCTGGAGTACTGTGTCCAGTTCTGGGCACTGTGCTTCAAGACGAACATGGATAAGCTTGTGAGGGTACAAAGGGCCACTCGTATGGTCAAAGGTATGGAGGATAGGCCCTACAAGGAGAGACTCTGGGAACTGGGCCTGTTCAGCCTGAGTAAGAGAAGGCTGAGAGGTGACTTGATAGCTGCCTACAAATACGTAAGGGAGCAACTCTTTACAAAGACACCCCAAGGGTGGATGAGGACCAATGAGCATAAGCTAATAGAGGGTAGGTTCAGGCTTGATATAAGGAATAACTTTTTCTCTGTAAGGGTCACCAGAATCTGGAACATACTCCCTGCAGAGGTAATACAGTCACCTTCCTTGGAGGTGTTCAAGATGAGGCTGGATAAGTAACTTGTTGAGCTCATCTGAGCCCAATAACTTCCTGTCCACAGTGGGGGGCTAGACTTGATGACCTTACAGGTCCCTTCCAGTTCTATGATTCTAAGAGAGATTCACCACTTTGGGCACATTCATCAGCAAAACCTACTGAACACTAAAGAGGCCCAGAAACATACCGCCTTTGCATCTGTTCACTGTAATTAATATTAAATAACTATATGTGGTTCTTAGTGTGTTAAGCTGTTTGATTAGTTTTGATGGGATTTAATCAAGTGAATGCAGGAGCAAAGATGTGGATGTACTTTTAAAGTACAAAAGAGAAAAAAAGTACTTTTATCTTAAGTCTCAGCCAAATGCTTCCAGCTTTGTTCTGCTCTGAAAAATGAGTAAGTACAGGACAACTGGGTTTCTGGCTTGTCAGCTGTCAATGATTTTCACATTGGATCTAGTCCTTTCACAAGAAAAGATTTTTTTTTTCAACTGCCAGCTTCTTAAGATCAAGCTTGAATCAAAGATAAACTAGGCTCTTTCTGACTCATCCATCAGAATTCTAGTTATTATTTCCCTTGAAGACCTTCAAATGAGAAGCCATTCTGTTTATTGTTGTTTAAAGCAGAATAGCACCTAAAACTCCCAGCCGTATTCAGAGCCCCATAATTCTTGGCACTTCATTTACCAGTGAAGAGTAAGAAAGTCCTATATCAGCTTACAGTTTAAAGCAATGAGACATCAGATAAATGGTGAAAAGGGAAACTGAGGAACAGGGAGGGGAAGTGACTAGCTCAAAATGGCCAAGACATAACTAAGAGAACTTGGAGACCTGGATCTATTCTAGAGTCCCAGCCCCAGATCCTGTAAATGGCATTGTTCCTATTCCAGTGTTTTGCTGGTCCTCAGGACCAGATTAACCCTTTAGTGGGCCTTAGGCAAACGAACTCATGGGCTCTGAGCCAGTAAAGACCCCCCTCCCCATTCCAGTGTTGCTGCCCATGGGGAGCAGAGCTTGGAGCTGCTGTGGTGATGCGGCCAGTAGAGGGGAAGGGAAGGGAAGAGAAGAGAGATGGACAGGGCCATTTGCACCACCACTGCAGAGGGAAGGACCAGGCCCCCTGCAGCTTGGGTCCCTAGGCATGTGCCTAGTTTGCCTATGCATTAATCTGGCCCTGCTGAGATATCAGGAGTGTAAACTGAGTTTTAATCAGCAGTACATAGACATGACCCAGGGCTCAGACAGATGACACATTTATATCAGAATAATTTACAGTGGTTTTGTAAATTACTCAGAGATCCAAAGGGGACAGAAGAACATATATTCCAAGATAGCTGCTCACATTAGGTGCTGTTTTAGCAGGTGACAGTCTGTTTGCATTGAGAAAACAGCTACTTTGGGATGTGAGCAGCCAGATAACATCTATGCTGGTATAGTTCTATCCAGATTGTCTTGGGAATAATTCTAGACCAGATATGAGTAAACTACACTGATGTAGGTGAGTTTATATTGGCCATCTGTTCTTTCTTAGACCAGTGTAAAGCTGATTACACTGGTCAAAACATGTCTGTCCACCTAATCAGAATGTACTCATGAGTAATACTCTTTTTGAGTAAGAAACCATCTTTTCTATTTATTTGGTTTCTCCAGTGGACTGCAGTAGCTCTAATCTGTTTGTTTTTCAGGTGTGTGAATTAAGGATGTGCTCTTGGTAACAGCAGGA